ACTATGTCTGGACCTGGTGAGTTTCCCCGTGTTGAGTCAAATTAAGCCGCAGGCTCCACTCCTGGTGGTGCCCTTCCGTCAATTCCTTCAAGTTTCAGCCTTGCGACCATACTCCCCCCGGAACCCAAAAACTTTGATTTCTCACAAGGTGCCGAACGTGACTATCATATCCTCGTCCGATCCCTAGTCGGCATCGTTTACGGTCAAGACTACGACGGTATCTAATCGTCTTTGATCACCTGACTATCGTCCTTGATTAATGAAAACATCCTTGGTAAATGCCTTCGCAATAGTTTGTCCTACATAAATCCAAGAATTTCACCTCTGACTATGTAATACAAATACCCCCGACTGTCCCTATTCATCATTACTTTGGTCCTAGAAACCAACAAAATAGATCCAAAGTCCTATTCTATTATCCCATGCTAATCTATTCAAACGTGCGCCTGCTTTAAACACTCTAATTTTTTCAAAGTAAATGCTCTGGCTACCATGTCCCAACTCAATGGCCCATGTTGCCAAAATATTGAACTCGTACAAAACTTTCCTTGCGGTCCATCCCGCACAAGTCCACTCATTCAACTACGGGCGTTTTAACTGCAACAACTTTAATATACGCTATTGGAGCTGGAATTACCGCGGCTGCTGGCACCAGACTTGCCCTCCAATTGTTCCTCGTTAAGAGATTTAAATTGTACTCATTCCAATTCCAAAACTATAAAAGCCCTGGTTTGTTATTTATTGTCACTACCTCCCTGTGTCAGGATTGGGTAATTTGCGCGCCTGCTGCCTTCCTTGGATGTGGTAGCCGTTTCTCAGGCTCCCTCTCCGGAATCGAACCCTAATTCTCCGTTACCCGTTATCACCATGGTAGGCCTCTATCCTACCATCGAAAGTTGATAGGGCAGAAATTTGATTGAACCATCGCCTGCTTGCGCCGTGCGATTCGATAAGTTATCATGAATCATCCATCTTCCGAGTCGCCTCGGTTGGTTTTTTATCTAATAAATACATCCCTTCCTGAAGTCGGGACTTGTTGCATGTATTAGCTCTAGAATTACCACGGTTATCCAACTAGTAAGGTACTATCAATTAAACTATAACTGATTTAATGAGCCATTCGCAGTTTCACTGTATATTCGTTTATACTTGGACATGCATGGCTTAATCTTTGAGACAAGCATATGACTACTGGCAGGATCAACCAGGTAACTATCTTTTATGGGAAAGAGTGTTTTGGAGAGTTTGTTTAAACATTCAATCCAATTCACTCTCTCACTTTTTGTTATCCACTCATTATTTCTCACTCTTGGTATCAATACATTGACATTGTATCAATACCTCCTCATTCACCATACTATTTACTCGATTCTCAAATAATAATCACTTGTCAACTGACAAACCATCATCATTCGTCATTGAAACTATCGTGTTTCCATTGTTTGCTCCGTTATCGTTACTTGTCAAGTAGTCATCTACACTTTGGGTCGTTACCCCATTTGTTATTCAATTCATAACCGTCTGGCCTTGGCTTGTACAATGCTGCTGTTTTAGCATCGTCTTGTACAAACATTGGGTCAGCTTGTCATTCAAAAATGCCATGACCTTTGGACGTGGTCCTCTTGTCCATTTGGACATTTGGACGTGGTCCTTGGGACATGGTCCATTTGGACATGGTCCTCCCTCCGATCCTCCAGTCCTTGGGACGTGGCCTTCGGACACCATGTCTTTGGACACCACGTCTTTCGGACATGGTCCTTGGACACCGTGTCTTTGGACATCATCCTCGGACATTTCCCACTTCCCCATCCATCCCACTCCCCCTCGACACATACCTCGCGGTACGGCGTCTGTTTGGTCTCGGTCATTATCTGACCAAGTCCCCGGTGACGAAACCGGTACCATACCATGTTATATGCAATAATGCACATGCCATGGCATGGTCAGACTCCCACATCAAGTGGGGTCCATTCCAAACCCAACTCACCAACCATGTGTTACCATGTTTGGCTTGCCGCGTCTGAGGAAACGATACCCAATTGTATCATTCCCAAGTGGACATTGTCACTGTACCAAGTACAACAACGCCGTCCATTCCAAACGCAACTCACCAACCATGTTACCATATTATGTTACCATGTTTGGCTTGCCCGTTTGTGGAAACAATACCCAATTGTATCATTCCCAAGTGGACATTTGTCATCAAATGACAATACTCCACTGTCGCAGTCCCTCGTTCAACATATCAACCCCAACATTGTGTTTCGAATACCATTTTCCCCTTGATCATCACGGTTCTTGTGTTGCTTTGCCGTCTTGTTTACGTCGTGCACATCACCTTTTGTTCCAATCACTCAAAATCGCTTACATTAATGTTTATTCGTCATGTGTCTACCATGTGTTTACCCCATTTGTGTAGTGTTCAGTTGAATCGGTTGGTTCCTACATGGAACCCACTGGTTTAAAACAATTGCGCTGGTATTTTTCGCGGTAATCATCATATATGGTGTGCACTGTAATCATTGTACCAAGCTATTTGGTATTGAATCAAATTCAATTAGAATCAAATTTAAACCCAATCCAAATACAATCCAAATCAAATTCAATTTAAAATTATGAATCCGAATCCGAAAATCCGAAAATTCAAAATCCACAAATCTAATCCAAATCCAAATTGGCCCAGTCAAATCATTACTCCATATATAATAATTGGTACTACTAAGATTTAAACCTCGCTAGTTGTCCCAATCCATCTTGTCCAACTGTTCAATACACATTCACGGTATCCACATTGTAGTAATTGCATATCCAAATCAAGATCAAAAAATCAAAAATCCAAATATTGCAACCACATCACATCCTAAACATCAACATTTGCTTTTTCAAGCCATTGGTTCATCTGGTTCTGTACACTTCCTAATCAATTCGGTTTTGCTTCACGCATTCCGTGCTAATCTCGGTTGTGTAGGTCATCAAATCACCCTGTCGGGCCCAATATGCCGTTCAAAAAACTGCTGATTCATATCAAAAAGCATTATAGTAACAGATATGGTCGTGCCGAATACTGTCATCGCTGTCAGTAGTGCCATTATCATCACTATAATTTAGCCATTATATTCCGAGTCACCCAAATCTACCATTGTGCATAGCTTCGGGGTGGAAACCAAAAACCACATAGTGCTAACCCATCAATGAGCACCAATTAATAATTACCCGACGGATTGCTCCGACAAACGCTGCTCCCTCCATATCAACAAATACGGCGGGGACGTTCCAAGTGATAATTACAATTGGCTAGCTATCAAAAGCCTATCAATGTGTGCTGCACCGATCTGTTCTGCCCGCCGAGTTATTTCATCGGGTTGTGCTCTCACAGATATCCGGTTCTTGGATCCTTCCACACTGAATAAATGACCCTGTTTAAGTCTCGTTATTTTTCTGATTATGCCAAATGGTTTGTTGAAAAACATTGCTTTGGTAACGTCTCGGCAATTCAATATTACTTGGCCGTTTTACATGTCAATTATCGTCGTGCCATGACCATACATTCCTGTCTGTATTCGTCACCAATATCAATCAATGGCCATTCATCATCACTTTATACAATGCTATACGTTATACTGTATCGCATACTGCCGGTTTGATTGCTGTATTACCATCCTGTCATCAAAACTGTATCTAGTGTGTGTTGCTGTAGTGATCATCTTTTTGTACGCATTATAATGTCCATGCTCCATTGTTGTTTGTGCTCCATTCACTGTTGATCTGTACACCATTGTATCCGCAATCATCGTACCTCCATATCCATATACATATACTTACATATCGCTTGCATCGTCATCATGTACTGTGCCATTGAATTGCAGTGTGTTGTCCATGTGTGGGACGTGCGTTTTGTACATGTTCAATTACGCTTGATCATTACAATTTTATTGCAATCATTTGTAGTCCCATCAGTAACACTCGGATTGTATCCATATTTCAACTGGTTGTGTATACAACATGTATGCATGTTACTGTCCAATATCACAGTGATCCGACCACCATCATACAGTGTATCATGAGTGTGTCATTACCCCACAATGCGTTGTTTTTTTGCATGATTTTGTGTCGTATTTCAATACTATTCAACCGTTTATTTTGACCCTATACAACAGCCATTGTAACTCTGTATTGTTACCATATTGTTACCATATTGTAATGTGTATATACATGTCATCGAGTCAACCAATGCAGTACTGTATAGGCATATGGCTGCATTTGCATCACCACCCAATATTCGTACAAAAAAAAACCGGCAATTGAGCCGTAATCCAATGCATACGTATGCTGATCACCACCATAATTGACCGCTGCATTAATATATCCGCATTCGGACACTCCAAACGTCATACTAACCACTCGTGTCTGATATTATCCGGACATTCGGACAGGATACCATGTCTGATATTCGGACAATATATCCAACTTTGTCAATATTGATGCTATCGTATTGATATATTGACCATTGTAATATATATACATGATATGTATACAGTCCAAACCACAGCGCAATAAGTCGTGTTTTGAGTGTATACCGACGTGTCCAATTCGGTCGACAGTCGTGACTATAACATGTTGTTAGTTTAGTTGACAACATGCCATGATGCATGTCCAATATATAGTATGTATATACATACATGTCCAGTATCAATCGCATGCATGTAGTGTCATTATTCATCGAGATACACGCATTTCCAGTTTCATGTCAAATATTCGTGCTATGTGCAAGTTGTATTTTTACATGTATCGCATGTCAACACATGCATGCATTGTACATACCAATGCCATGTGCATATACTGTAGCAGTTTCATGCAACTAGTGTCACTATTGACGACGATATACGACATCAAACACGCCAAAACGTCATTTTCGGACTTTGGTCGGCCCATTCCATGTCAGATATTGACCATAGTGCGTCAGTGACATCATAATTCGATCCGCAACACATAATTACATATATGTGGTGCATATCAAGTCATTTGGTCGACTTTTGTGGTCATACTCGATATTAAAGTTTTTAGTTTGCAATTGGTTTGAAACGACGAGCTCTACTTGTTATTTTAATCTAGTATCGTGTCTATCAGTCAATCAACAATTTATCTTGTATGCAAATGCGTCAAAAATACATGTAGTATATCGTTCTGATTCGATATCAGTTGGCATTGACACTGTACGACCACTACTGACCAAGTTATTAACATATTATCGACTAGCTCATACTGTCCCAGCATGTCGTCAAGAAAACCATCATATATTACAGTGTTGTGCCAAAAAACATGCATGGATTGCATTGAAACTGGACATGATACAATATCAAGTATATACATGTATTGTCATGGCATCAAACTGGCATGATATCATGTATTGGTTGTGTAATAGACCATAATATATGCCAACAAAACGCTCCAAATCAGGCATGATTATAGTCGTAAATATATTATTGTGACTGTGTTGTTGGACAGTGACTATCAATGACTATCAATAACTACTAGTGACTATCAATAACTGTCAATGACCATCAATAACTATCAATAACTGTAAAAACGATCAAGGTTTGTAGCCTGACAGTGTACAATCGAGTTTATTAAATCGTGTAATTCTGGTCGTTATTCGACTTTACCCAACACTTGAACACTCGATTGTTGCATACAGTTTGACAGTCGTCATACATGGCCATGTGTATGCTGTTGTATAACCAGAGACGCAGTAGTATTGCCATGTGTTGGTTGAATCGACATACTCGACACACACCAGTCAATGCAGTTTTGTCCGAATCCCTATTTTTGTTGGCTGTAGTTTTACACAAACTTGAAACAGTCATTGTAACAGTGTTACTGTCATTGTCATCAAGCTGTAGTATGTGTAACTGTAGTATTGGTTGAGCTATTGACCATGTATTCGAGTATGAACGACTGTGGTTTTTTACAAACAATTGGTCAAACAACTGGTCCAACAACAGTCAAACAACAGGTCAAATGCAGGTCTGAACAATCGTCAAATACTAGTCAGAATACTGGTCAGAATGCAGGCTAAACTAATCAAACAACAGGTTGAAATGCAGGTCAAATACTCGTCAAATACACTCGTCAAATATGATCAAATACAGGTCAGAATAACAGTCAAACACATGGTCAGAATGCAGGTCTGAACAATCGTCCAATACTGGTCAGAATGCAGGTCTGAACAATCGTCCAATACTGGTCAGAATGCAGGTTGAAATACTGGCTAAACTAATCAAACACTCGTCAAATACACTCGTCAAATGCAGGTCAAACAACTCGTCAAATACTCGTCAGAATAACTGGTCAAATATGGTCAAACAACAGGTCAAACAATTAGTCAGAATGCAGGTTTAAACAATCGTCAGAATACTGGTCAGAATGCAGGCTAAACTAATCAAACACTCGTCAAACAACAGGTTAAAATACTCGTCAAATACTCGTCAAACAACAGTCAAATACAAGTCTAAATACTAGTTGAAATGCAGGTTAAATACAAGTCAAATACACTCGTCAAACAGCCAGTCAATTAAACTATACAATGCATTTGATATTCATACATTACACAATCAATCGCTAGTGAATATGCCAGTCATCGATATGTATTGTAGTCAAGTGAATGTATCGGCCATTGTAACATGAATATATGATGTGTATACAGTCCAAACTACAGTGTAATATCATATGTTTTGAGTGTGTTTCAGTTGCATCCAATTCAGTCGGCAGTCGTGACTATGACATGTTTCCAATTTAGTTGATGATATGGCCTGATGCATGTCCAGTATATAGTATGCATGTATACTCATGTTCAGTGTCAATCTCATGCAACTAGTGTCACTATTGGTCAAGATATATCCAATCTTGGTATCATGTCAAATACTAGTGGTAAGTATAAATTGTATATTTTTTTGCAATTTCATGACAATACATGCATGCATCATACATACCAATGCAATATCCATATACTGTAGCAGTTTCATGCAACTAGTGTCAGTATTGGTCAAGATATACGACATCAAACACGCCAAAACGACACTTTCGGACATGCACTTGATGGTCATGATACACATTGATATATTGCACCAATGACGACGTAATCATATACACAATACATGACTATATGTGTACCATACATTGCAGTTGATTTCGACATTGTACGACCACTGTAGACCGAGTTATTGACACGCCAAACATCGACTATAATATCCAACCTACAAAACGTCAGCTATTCAATTACTGTGTTATCAAACATGCATGGATTGTATTGAAATTGTACATGATACAATACCAAGTGTATACAAGTATTGTCATGCCACCATATCAACACAGGCTTGCGTATTGGTTGTGAAATAGGCCATTTAGTACGCGATTGTGATGATGCAAATGGTCCACTTTGAACGCATATAACTTGGCCAATAGCAGTTATTTCCCAGCCATATTTAAACTGGTTGTGTATATAGTATATCACCATTGATTGAGCATGCATATGCACGGTTTGCAGACATTTATAATTTGTGTTGAATGTGTTGTATGTGACCATTTGAAACTCGACTAATTGTGGTGTATTTTGACATGTATTTTGACTGATGTTTAGCGTCTGTTCATGTGCCATTGATGTACCATTGATGTGCCATTGATGTGATGTTGATTGAGTATGGTCGATGTAATACTATACACATTATAATCACGCAATAACAGTCAGTATTCATGCATAAAAACATCAAATTCAATCATGAATTGGTTGCGTATTTCAGCTACTATGACGACATGAGTTTGATGACATACCGTTCAGTAATGATATCGATTGTTTGGACATTGTTTCAGACATTCAGTCAAACACGTATGATCATGTTTGATATTTGGACAAGATGCCGCGTCTGATATTCGGACAATATTGCATGTAGTTTTATCAATATTGATGCTATCGTATTCATGTATTGACCATTGTAATATGTATATATGATGTGTATACAGTCCAAACTACAGTGTAATATCGTATGTTTTGAATGTGTTCCAGTTGCGTCTAGTTTGACCTGCAGTCGTGACTATGACATGTTTCCAGTTTGATTGACGATATGGCCTGATGCATGTCCAGTATATAGTATGCATATATACTCATGTTCAGTATCAATCTCATGCATGTAGTGTCACTATTGGTCAAGATATATCCAATTTTGGTATCATGTCAAATACTAGTGGTAAGTATAAATTGTATATTTTTTTGTAATTTCATGACAATACATGCATGCATCGTACATACCAATGCAATATCCATATACTGTAGCAGTTTCATGCAACTAGTGTCACTATTGGTCAAGATATTCGACATCAAACACGCCAAAACGACACCTTCGGACATGCATTTGATGGTCATGATACACATTGATATATTGCACCAATGACGACGTAATCATATACACAATACATGACTATATGTGTGCCATACATTGCAGTTGATTTCGACATTGTACGACCACTGTAGACCGAGTTATTGACACGTCAAACATCGACTATAATATCCAACCTACAAAACGTCAGCTATTCAATTACTGTGTTATCAAACATGCATGGATTGCATTGAAATTGTACATGATACAATACCAAGTATATACAAGTATTGTCATGTCACCATATTGACACAGGCTTGTGTATTGGTTGTGAAATCGACCATTTAGTACGCGATTGTAATGATGCAAATGATCCACTTTGAACGCATATAACTTGGCCAATACCAGTTATTTCCCAACCATATTTAAACTGGTTGTGTATATGGTATATCACCATTGATTGAGCATGCATATGCACGGTTTGCAGACATTTATAATTCGTGTTGAGTGTGTTTCAGTTGCATCCAATTCAGTCGGCAGTCGTGATTATAACATGTTTCCAATTTAGTTGACGATATGGCCTGATGCATGTCCAGTATATAGTATGCATGTATACTCATGTTCAGTATCAATCGCATGCAACTAGTGTCAGTATTGGTCAAAATATATCCAATTTTGGTATCATGTCAAATACTAGTGGTAAGTATAAATTGTATATTTTTTTGCAATTTCATGACAATACATGCATGCATCGTACATACCAATGCAATATCCATATACTGTAGCAGTTTCATGCAACTAGTGTCACTATTGGTCAAGATATTCGACATCAAACACGCCAAAACGACACCTTCGGACATGCATTTGGTGGTCATGATACACATTGATATATTGCACCAATGACAACGTAATCATATACACAATACATGACTATATGTGTGCCATACATTGCAGGTCAATTGGTCAAGTTTTGCGACTATAATGCATGTTTTTGATTGCAAATTGACGACTGATTTGGATGGTGTTTTGGATATCGTGTATAGTTTGACAGTTTGTGCGTTCTATACATGCCAGTATATCAAACATACTGTAGTTTGTCGTCCCGAGTTGATTGCAGTTGTCACTGACACTGTACGATCACTGTAGACCGAGTTATTGACACGCCAAACATCGACTATAATATCCAACCTACAAAACGTCAGCTATTTAATTATTGTGTTATCAAACATGCATGGATTGCATTGAAATTGTACATGATACAATACCAAGTATATACAAGTATTGTCATGTCACCATATCAACACAGGCTTGTGTATTGGTTGTGAAATCGACCATTTAGTACGCGATTGTGATGGTGCAAATGATCCACTTTGAACATGTATAACTTGGCCAATAGCAGCTTGTCCCAGCC